GCAGCATGTGATAGTCATTGATGCTGCAAAACTTGTTCTTGTCATTCTAGCTTCTTTCTGATTGTACAATCTACTATAGATTTACCAACATCTATGTAGTAAGAGTACTCACCTGAACGTATAGAAATTGAATGTATTGTTTAAGTAGGCCTTTACACTACATAGTGGTTGGTAAATCTGAAAGGTATTGAATTGTTAGATTGTAACAACTTTATGTTTGTGAAATGTTAAGATATTGCCGGAGAAAATGAACACTCTTCTATGTAAGCCAGTTGTTTTTCCAAGGGCCATTTAAAGCCAAACTCCAAGCAGTTATAAAGCTGGTTAAGACTTTGTTCACACTAGTGACAGAGGTGTGATTTCAGATGTCACTTGAGTTGCACAGAATCACATGGCAATGAAAATCAAATTATTTTCAATGGAGCCCATTCACCCATTCAATGGAGCCCATTCAATTCAGTGTGACTTGAACCTCCTGGATTGGGGGTTGTGGGGGTCTGCAAGTGAGAGTCTTTTCGGCTTCCACCATGTGAATAACTAAGGTATGTACCCCTATTCATTCACAGAAAAAGTCAGTGGTAAAAATAAAACCACAAACTGTTTTTGACCTTTATTAAAATTTTTTTTAAAGGTACCCTGATGTGCATCCATCATCAATCGTGTTGTCTGGCGATGTAGGACCACGTCAGTCATGATCAACAACGGCTGCCAACCCGCACAGAAAAAAAAAAACAAAAACTCTGCTGCTTGCCAACACCCGTCCATTCTCGTCACTTTCATTGTGTCCATTTATGGTCAGTGACATCACTGGGTGACCCTGCCCCCCTGTTTACTTCAACGGCAGGGCTTCTTTTTCCCCATGTTGGTCGGGGGCTGTTATTGATGTGGACCGACATTGCTAGATGACATGATTGACTATAAATATACAATGTGAGACTTGTTTTTTTAATAAGACTTGTCAAAAACTGTTTGTGGTTTTATTTATAACTGATTTCTTTTAGTGCATAAGTAGGGGCATTATGTACACCTTACTCATTCTCATGGGGGGGCGGTATCTGGGTGACTATTGTTAAAGGGGGACTTCCAGTTTCCTATAAACCCCCCTGCAAACCCCTAAAACCACTGGGCCAGTGTTGTGGGGAAGAGGCCCTACATGTTGATGTCCCCATCAACAAAGTATTGTCCCCAAGTTAAGGGTATGTGGCCTGGTATGATTTGGGGATGAAGGGGTGCATGCTCCCCCCCAAGCACGAACACACACACACTTTTGAGAGGACCCAATGTCATATTTTTAATTTTTTTGTAGTGGGGTCCCCCTTAAAATCCATGCCATACCTGGTAAGGATTGTGGGGGGAGCTCCACACTGTTTATTTATATTTTATTCTTCTGTCAGGCTAACCAACATCCATCCATAACTGCAGCTAACTGTTCTGGCCGCCGTTAGCCTGTCATTAGTTTAAATAGGATGAGTGGCTGCTGCTAATCACGCCTTGGTTATTCCAGCCACAAGAATATGCGGATTCCTTCAGCTGGGATCTTGTGGCTGCATGTAACTGGCCATGAGAATGTGGCCTAAGGGTCATCTACGTCTGAAGGAATTACAGTGTCCTTTTATCATGCAGTGGTAAATGACCACTGCTCGGTTCTCTGGCATTGTCAGAGGAGAGACAGTTCTCTGAATGCCTGTTTATTAAGCGGTGTAGATCACTTTTCCTAATGAGGAGAGAAGTGATCTACAAAGGCTTTGAACTCTAGAAAACCTCTGCTGTTACTGCAATCTAGTGAGATTACAGTAAGAGATCAGTCAAACACCATTTACTAAGCAGAGGTAAATTACCGCTGCTTCGTTTGCGGCTTCCCCAATTCTCCACCTCTGGGCTGGAGAATCTGGAGGGAGAATTTTCACACAGATCACCAGTGAAGGGCTGACATCGCTCCTTCATACACTGGACGTTTCTGACAGATTCTCTGTGTACTGAGATGATCAGTGGAAAAAACATGTTCTCCGCTGATCATCTCTGTTTCCTAAACGACTAATGATCTGAGATCAGCAACAAACCTTAGGCTGGCCATACACTATACCATTTTCTTACAAATTTCTGTCCAATTTCTGCCCAATTTCCTTTAGATTTCCCTTCAACTATGTAGTGCAAGGGTCTGCCTAATTGGATAGAATTAAAGTGTTGTTTAGGTTTGACCTCATATTATATGGTTTTTGGTAAATTTAAAGCAAAAATCTCAAGAAAATTGTATAATGTATGGCCAACCTTAGTGTCAGGAATCTGGGTATGACCAGAAATGTGTGGACTGACACAGGGAAACGCAGGCTTCTGGTATAGTATAAACAATACAATTTAGCAAAGACTAACAATACATAAACGCAGTGCAAAACATAACACAGTGCAACAAACCAAACCTCCAACAAACAACCATACATACAACACTAAACGTAGTCGGACGGGTCGGTAGCAAACGGGCAAACAAGGTACCAGGAGCAGGCGGGAGAGTGGTCAGGACTAGCCGAGGTCAGTACAGGCAGAGTTTGTGCAGAATCAGGATAGAAGCAAGCAGAATCAGGATACCGGGGCCAAGAAAATAGTACAACAATGCACTGACTGCAGGTCTGGCCATTCCTTAAATACACCTCCTGCAATCAGCCTCAGGTGATGGCTGATTGCAGGAGTGAGCTTCTGGTTGCTGACAGCACCCGCTGGCTAGCCCAGGTACTGCAGCCCACAAGGCAGGTGAGTCCCACCACCATTGGCGAGTCCATTCCTGACACTTAGGATCGCCACCGATCTCAGTTTCATAAAAGGACACCTAAATGCTTTCCTCATTGCAATGCTGCCACATTTTAACTTATTATAATGAATGCTGACCCTCCTATTTAGAAATCATTTTGAGAAAGGAGATGCTGAAATACCAGTTTCTCAATCCAGAGAATGTTAAGAATCTGCCAAAAATTAAAAAGCCTTGCAATATACTGAAAATATGTTGTCATTACATGGAAATCTCTGAGTGAAATGTAACGACAAAGGCATGCTTTGAATGATTTATTATCACTGAAATAATCCCTTGTGTGATCATAGGCCCAACAATAGTGCATAACGTGTGATATTTTCATTACCATGATTTATTGGATCATTTGAACAATTTTTAGTCAGCTCTTTAAAGTTTTATCACAAGGATCTGCTTAATTTACAACATGCATATTATATTATCACCTTTGGCCTTATTATTAATGTAAAATGTGACTTCTGCACCAAATAATATGAATATGGATTTGGCTAGTTTTCAACTCTAGCTCTGGCCTTTTTTTTTTTCTTTTTTTTTTTTTTTAATTAAATGGATAAAATTGGTAAGAGTTAAAATGTCTGGATTTCATTTCTGTCTTTGATTGAACCAGGGAGATTATCTCTCACTTCTTGTCCCTTATTTCTAGTCTGTCCATAAAACAAAATAACGGGTGTGGTTTTCATTGGCACAGGGAGGCAGCAATAAAAACCTTGCTGATTAAGTCACTGATCACGTGACAAAATGCGTCGGAAGAGGGGGCAACTAGATGTCATTACGCCCGGGAGTGTGAGTTCGGCTATTTTAGACACTACTTCAGAAATATGCATCCTTAAAGGGGCAATATACTATTGGAATGGAAATGTAAACAAGCGATCAATCTAGTGCTCTGGATGTTACAAGTGCACTGTACCTGTGAGTGTTTTTAGTCTTTTAATAAACAATATCAAGTTACTCTGATACTGCACCATGAGATCTTTTTTGTTTCATTTTTCACATTGATTTGGCTGGAGTCTGGCAGTCTTAAAGTGACACTTGCCTATTACAAGTGAATTGGAGGAATATTGCCAGTTATTACATCCAGAGTGTTGAGAAAGTGTGTTTGACCTTACCCTTTGTGTGGGTCAAACCTTGAGGTAAGCAGCAGCTTTTGAAGGTGATGGTTCACTGTGGTGGAGCACATCATCAACTTTGTATTGAGCATGCATGTCACGAAACACGATATTTTGAAGAAAGAAAATTCTCACTGGATACTTTTTATGAATTCTGCATTTGTTCATATTTATTGTACGTTTACATGCGTTTTTATAGTATTTATGAAGTTTACAGGAGGAATATGAATTATTTAGCTCTGTATTTACAAGGAAGGTTGGGATTCATTACACTTTATTTATATCATCAGTTATATCACTAATTGTATTTTATGCATTCACATTTGTTTGCCACCTTTTTCTTTAAAAAAAAAAAAAAAAAAAAAAGATGTTTTTGCATATTTTATATTGGGTATTCATTGCATGTTATCTATTCATATCATCAGTTATATCACTAGTTGTATTCGATGCATTTACATGCGTTTGTCTTTTTTATTTAAAAAATAATTATAAATTATTGCACATTTATATTGGATTATACACATTTTAGTTGCTCTACACTTTTTCTATATTGACTACTTGCCAGAATTTCTAACTTTTCCTCACTATACCAAATAGGTGTGTCTCCATTGGACAGATTTCCCTTCACTTATGAAGTCTTGATAGGGACACAGATTGCAATAAACACCTGAAAGAGGCTCTAACTCTTCCCCGCTCTTTCTAAAATTAAATGAAAATGTTTTACTAGAGTTAAGTTTAACATGGAGTTCTTTTTATGTTGTCTACTGTAGGGAGCAAAATAAAGCAGCTTTCCATGTGAAGGGAAGTAGCAACTTGTAGGATGAATAACAGATTTACGAAGAATGGGGCTTTCCTAATTTAAATGTTCAATTGAATGTGTCAATTCCACGACCGCTGATATTTATTTTTGTGTGTTGAACAATGTGGTGGGAAAATCATTATAAGATAAAATAGGGAACTTGTGAAAAATAACTCTTATGACTTTTTGCGAATTGATGATTGTGTGAAACCTTTTTTAAACTGTTACTAAACCCGCAACAGTAAAATCAGTCTGTATATGCAGTAAAGCATGTTTGTTATACTCACTGTGGAACCTCTACATTGTGTAAAAAGGATGTTTGATTCTGTCTTCTCTGATCCTCCCCTTCTTCCACAGTCCCCAATCCATCTGCTGATAGAACAGAGCCTTGGGGGGCAAGCTGCACATGCATAGTTTGGTGTGTATTGCTAGATAGTGTTTTTTGTTGTTTTATCAGCATTGGGCAAATCAGCGCTGTCCAGACAGAGGTCAAGGGTCAACCTTATAGGATGATTGGGGGAGAACAAAAACTCCTTCTACAAGCTTTAACCAGTACTGTAAGTAATTACAGACCTGTTAGTTTAACTTCTATAGTTGGGAAGATACTGGGGAGTTTAATAAAAGACCACATAGATGAGTTCTTGCTGGAAAAAAAATATTTTAAACAACAGACAGCATAGATTCATGAAAGACAGAAGTTGTCAAACAAATCTGACTTCTTTTTATGAGGGGGTGAGCAAAACCTGGGACAGAGGGGTGGCTGTGGATGTGGTATACTTGGACAGAGGGGTGGCGGTGGACATGTTATACTTGGATTTTGCAAAAGCGTTTGACACAGTTCCCCACGCAGGGCTAATGTGTAAGGTAAAGTCTACGGGCTTGGAAAAATCCGTATGTAAATGGATAGAATACTGGCTAAAAGATCGTATTCAGGGAGTAGTAGTTAATGATTCATACTCTGAATGGTCTAGGGTCATTAGTGGTGTACCCCAAGGTTCAGTGTTGGACCCTTACTTTTTTATATATTTATAAACGATATAGGGTCTGGGATTAAAAATCCCATTTCAGTCTTTGCAGATGACACCAAGCTGTGCAGTGGAATAACGTCTTACAGGATGTCTCCAATTTACAAGCCGACCTCAATGCACTGTGTAATTGTGCAACTAAGTGGCAAATGAGGTTTAATGTTCATAAATGTAAGGAGATGCACTTGGGGGCTAAGAATATGCATGCATCATACATACTAGGGGGGGTACAACTGGGGGAATCAACGGGGGAGAAGGATCTGGGAATTCTAGTAGATCACAAGCTTAATAATGGCATGCAATAATGCTAAGCTGCGGCTTCTAAAGCGAGCAAAATCCTCTCGTGTATTAAAAGAGGTATAGACTCCAGAGAGAGAGAGATTATCATATTACCCGGTACAAATCATTAGTAAGACCTCATCTGGAATATGCAGTTCAGTTTTGGGCACAAATTCACAAAAAGAACTTTGGGGAACTGGAGAAAGTACAGAGAAGGGCAACTAAACTGATACAAGGCATGGAGGAGCTCAGCTATGAGGAAAGATTAGAAATTAATTCTCTCTTGAGAAGCGGAGATTAAAGGAGAATATGATCAACATGTATAAATACATCAATGGTTAATATAGTGAACTCGGTGTAGAGTTATTCATCCTGAGGTCATCACAGAGGACAAGGGAGCACTCTTTACATCTGGAGGAAAAGAAATTTAATCTCCAAACGGAAAGGTTTCTTCACAGTAAGAGCTGTGAAAATGTGGAATAGACTCCCTCAAGAGTTGGTTCTGGCCAGCTCCGTGGATTGCTTCAAAAAAGGCCTGGATTCTTTCTTAGATACACAGAATACAACTGGATACTAATATTTATAGGTAAAGTTGATCCAGGGAATATCCAATTACCTCTCGGGGTATCCGGAAGGAATTTTTTTCCCAGCAGGAGCAAATTAGGTCATGCTTGCTGGGTTTTTTTGCCTTCCTCTGGATCAACTGTGGGTGTAGGATTATAACTTTTTTTTTTTTTTCTATGGTTGAACTGGATGGACTTTTGTCTTTTTTCAGCCAGACTAACTATGTAGCTATGCTCTGCTGAACACTGATAGTAGTCTACAAGACTGCTTTACCTGCTGATGAGAAAGTGTATTTATCGGTTTATATTTACTATAATGCATTTCCATGCACTTTACCTGTTATATTCCAATAAAATGTGGATTAAAAAAATAATAATTTTATTATTATTATTATTATAAAAACATGATTTATATAGTGCCAACAGTTTGCATAGCGCTTTACAAACGAAGATAGACATTACAGTTACAAAACAAGTCGGTGCAAGAGAAATCAGAGGGCCCTGCTCGTAAGAGCTTACAATCTAAGAAAAGGCACAGTTTTTGTTTTGGACAGAGCGGAAATGTATTAGAACACCTGTTGCTGTCTGCGCCTCCATTAGGGAGATTCACCCTCTTTGTTTGTCCTGTTTATAATTGAAAGTAAAAGAAACCCCAAATTTTTGGATGTCCCCAGAAAAGTTGGGGAAATTTTCCAGTAGGGACACTAGCTCTTGTGACCTTGGGGTCTCCAAAGGACTTCCCTTTAATTTGCAGATATTTTCCCATGTCCTGTTTTGGTTTTGGGACAGGAAGTGAAGGTATTTCTCCCCAATGGGACACAGATGGCAAAAAAAGCCTCCCTTATAAGCCTCCCTTTCTCTATACAAATGTTTGTTTTTAAAATTGCCTATCGTTCGTTAAAGAGATTGAAAATAACTTTTGAAAATTAAAGAGTAGATGGTATTTTAGTAATTGAGTTTAGATCTACTCTAGCTTGTGGAATGAGAAAATGGACATGGTGCTCCAATCAAACATTTGCCAGCACTTGGTTGTGCGTCTGGAAAACAGTGACTATGAAATCATTATTGGCTGGCTGCAATTTTAGCTCATACAGACTGAGTAAGTTGAATTACTTAGTGTAGTAAGCAATAGTATTCATTTAGAGTTCGTCCTTTGTTTTCCTGCCCTCAGTTCACTGAAATTTGCCTTCTGTAAGGAAATGCATCATCGTTGCATTCTTCTCTGCCTTAGGGCAATGCTCTCCTAGCGACTTTGTAACAGCTTCAGATCTCTGCTTGTTTTCTCTGATGGCTTGTCGGTAGCAGAGTTAGGCTAATGACATGATTGCTAGAAAACACAGAAGAACATTTTCCTGCATTCTGTGTCCACTCCCTCATTGCCAAAAACACTTCAAAATGTACGACACTGGTGAGAGAGTAATGCCTTTCTATCCAGCAGGTGAGGGAGCAATGCAGGTGGTTCACCTTCCTGCTGGGTCCTCCATAGCAATCCTCCGGTGCCATGTGCAGGATCACAAGTGTGAAATTGGCTTCATCACTGCATCTGACTCCAATGCTTATCTGTACATCTATAGACTGCTAGTGTGCCATGATCATACCCAGCGGCATTGGACAACATGAGCGTCTGCTGAAGCTGGCGATTCTCTTACTAGCCCCAAGCACTGCTAAGGGCTCATGTACACTGCAGCTACTAAACTGATGTTTGGGAGCTGTTGAGCGTTTTTTTTTTTTCAGCATCCCCCTAACTCTCCTTTGTTTTCTTATGTGTCCATGTACACATAATCGTTTACAGGCAGTTGAGTTTACAGGCATTTTCTTGAAAGCACCAAAATCGCGTTCAGGAGTAGAGTTTTTACCGGCGTTCCAAAACGTGTGTAAAGGCGATTAAACGCATTTATGCATGGTTGCGTTTAGAAGCGTTTTTTTGTGTGGTCCAGATGCTGTCCAGAGCTTTTTTCTTCATCAAAAATGCATGCACAGCGTTTTCCATGTATTCAAATGGACCCGGTACACCAGTGCAGTCAGTTTCAGGTTTTGCTTGAAGGAAAAAAATGGTAGAACGTGCCGCATTATACTCATGATGGGATCCATAGTGAATACAACCAGAAAAAGATAGGTCATCTCAACACATACTGTCCTCTCTATTTCTCTCAAAATGTCTGAAATAGTTATTTACTATTTTTCAGTGCATTCTGGGCATTTGGGAGGGTCTCCTGAGGTTATCTTTTAAAAAACGCTTCTAAACGCAAACACGCCTAAACACGGCTAAACTGACATTTTTTAACCTACGTTTTCTAGCAGTCAGTTTCCGGCGGTCAGAAGAGTTTTCCAAAAGCCCCGTGTACATGAGCCCCAAGAGTCAAATTCTCAAAGTCTGAACTGCAAATCCCTTGGAATTTCTGCAACACAAACTTTTATTTGATTGCAATTCATTTTATCCTAGCAATAAACCCGTTGAGTGATTGTGCTATGTATTACTGGTACAGACACATATGTGACATGAGCCTTACTGAATCGGCCACGAATTATGCCATGTATTTATGAACTTATAGCAGGTCTCTGAATATATACCATGAGACATTTTTCTTTTCTTTTTTCAGTTCTGCAGTTTGCATTTGTTAATCTCCTGCATTCACAGTGTAGTGGATTGTATGTTTTAGCAGAGAAAAGTGCCTGCGCCATTCAATCTGTTTCAGGAAGGAACAAGCTGTACACATCTTTTCAGCACCAGTGTGCTGGACAGTCAGTTTGTGGCTGTTAATTGATCTGAGAGATTTACATAACCTCCTTTCACTTCTTCCTCCCAGGTACTGGCAGGATTTCTTTTATTATTATTATAGAGGATTTATATAGCACCAACAGTTTGCGCAGAGCTTTACAAAATTTCTTTTGGCGGGTTGATCATTCCAAATATACATAATAAAAAACTGTTTATTTAAAAATAAATGAACAGGTCTTGACACTTGAAACTAGCACAACTTGCATTTATTAACTCCCATTAAAAGACATGTTTGAAGCGGTATTAAACCCAAAAGCAAAAATGTGTTATATTGCAGCTTAGCAATAATTAGATGTGATGGCTGCATCAGTTTTTTCTTTGGATTTTTTTCCCTCTGTTTTCACTTGGTGACTTAACCAGTAACACACCACCAGTATTAGTGAGATACCACCTTGGAGGAATGAGCACAGGAGACAGCAGCATTGTCAGTCTTGGGAGGGGGGGGGGGGGGGGGGGCGAGAGTATTTATTTATTTATTTCAGGTACTTATATAGCGCAGTCAATTTACGCAGCGCTTTACATATATATTGTACATTCACATCAGTCCCTAACCCTCAAGGGGCGTACAATCTATGGTCCTAACTCACATTCATACATACACATACTAGGGCCAATTTAGACAGGATCCAATTCACCTACCAGCATGTCTTTGGAGTGTGGGAGGAAACCAGAGTACCCGGAGGAAACCCACGCAGGCACAGGGAGAACATGCAAGCTCCAGGCAGGAGGTGCCGTGGCTGGGATTCAAACCAATGACCCTAGTACTGCCAGACGGAAGTGCTAACCATTTAGCCACTGTGCTGCCCCAGATGTCTTAAATGTATTAGCAGATTTGAATACAAATAACATA